TGGTTGATTTCATTTGCTCGGTTATCACCATTAAAAACATACTGACTGCACCAAAGATAACGTTTTTTGCTTTATAAACTGATTATGAACAAACTCATCTGCTGACTAAGACTGAGAAGCATTAAAAGGTTTAGAAAAAGCAAGTAAATGGACTTTGTTTTAAGATTATTTTGTCAGCCTTTTGTGTCATGATATTCTTTTTGACTTTCTTCATTTAAATGTAAAAAATACTTTGTCAAGAAGGCTTGGTTGTTTGAAAAATAGTTTTCAGGGTGGTCACAGGTGTGTATCAGCAAGCAGTGGGATGTATGTGACAAAATGTATATTCTGTACATTATTCTCAAGACTTAAAATGATTGTTTCTGTATTTATAAATGATAAAGAATAGCTTTTTAGTGACATTTGAAGGCCCTGCAATCTGCCTCAGCTTTAACTCAGTTTCACTCACTAGTGCTCATGGAGGTTTTGTATGAAGCGCAGTAATCCCAGTATGTTGTCAGGATAGGCTTTTTTCTTGGCATCCATCTTCTGGACCACCTGTGATGGAAACTACAACACCAAAAGTAATTAATCAACGTTTCAATGAGGAATACAAAAATTAAAGTTGTTATGTTGGAGTCACCTTATTTTTCCACTGTTTGAAGGATCCATCCCCAGCACATTTGTCCAGTGAACAGATCAGTTTTGGGTCAGCATTTCGACAATTTGCCACCTCTTCCCTTTTGCCAATCCATATCAAGTATTCAACTTGTCTGAAAAAAAAACAGAACCTTAAAATAGTATTATATATGATACTGTTTAAAATTGGTGTTAGAGATGGAAACAGACCATTTGATGAAAAGTCAGAGGATCACCACTCATTAAGATACACTGGTAACCATGAATGGTTTTACCAAATTTAGTGCCATTCGAGCCAATAATGTAGAAATGTTTTACTCATACCAACGTTTTAGACCTACCAAATGACTGATAATGCCATCACATAAATGGACAAGAATTATAATCCTTCCATCTACCAATAAATCATAGTTTCTTCCTTACTTTTTAGTGGTCCAGACGAAGGGATGGCTCAAGCATTCTTCCACATTTGATCTGTTCTTTGGTTCTGCATCGATCATCCACTCGATGAGATCCTTTGCCACCACATCTTGAACATGGTCCAAACTGAATGTTGCTCTCACATTTACTGGACTTGTCGCCGAAAGGATGGTGTCCTCCAAACATTTTTGCAATTAAGGAAGTAATTTATATATATAAAGTCATCAGTTTACTTTTGTGCAGGAGAAAAACTGACCTGGACATCAGTGTTTGACTTGTATGGTATGTCAGCTTCTTCTGCCAATGTCTCCTTGGCCATCCAGCATTTTGTTCCTGCACTGCCTGTGCGATAAGTTGTTTGGCCTTTGAGTAACCTTCTACTCATACCAAAATCAGCTAATCGTGCCCTCCTGTTAACATCTGCAGGACAAATCAGGTGGAAAAATTCAGGAAACAAATTATATAATCATAAATTCTAACAATGTTGCATTTTCAGTATATTTCTAACTTGTCTTACCAATCAACTATTATGTGGTTTGAGATCTCGGTGGAGAATTAGAGGATTTTGACAATGAAGCACCCTTAAACTGTCAAGAACCTGATAGACAATTTTTTTTCTCAGCAACTTGATCATCATTTGGGTCTTCTTCCTCATCTGAGGACTATTTTCAGCTTGTCATTCATTTTCATATCTGCAGATGTCAGTATGTCCTCGGGCACTGAACTTATCCCCACTGATGTAAAGGTGTCAACCGCATGGTTATTTGAAAGTAAGTTGGGATCTCAGACGTCTGTGTCTTTTGATTTCTGTGTTATCATATACAGTATTTGCAGCTTCCCAAATATCAGGTTTCTCTTCTGAGCGAAGTCAGTCCAGTAGCAGGGGGGTTATAGCTAGAGCTTACTCATTTGGTATGTCTTCCATTGTGCAGATAACTGCATGTAAACTATGTGTGGCCCTCTTTACTTATATTGCAAGTATGTTTGGAAGGTGACTGACTGCTCCTGCAATGTAGGTGTTCACATGTTCTTTAGCCATATAATACACCCTTCTCTGTATACACACTTCTTCATATGGCTCGCCTCGCACAGCAATTTCCATATCCAGGAAATGTCTGATTTTCCAGCATAATTCATCTCCTTTTGAACTTCTTGATTTTGTTTTCAAATATGCACTGTATTAAAGGATGTGTTTCTTTTGGCGGGACAAATTCAAACTGTGTGATGACATTGATTCTTTACTTCAGGGTAACTGCGAAAAAGACAAAATTATGACATTACTGTTAAATGTTTTAGATATTATGACATTTTAAAATTTAAAAATTTAGACAAAGCCGCTTGCTGAGGCAAACTCAATAAGAAACTCAAACACAGCTACAGTAAGTACTGTATAACTAGATATGACATGTTTTACCATTGTGATTCACAAAGCCCTCAGCCAAGTATCGGCATGTACAGCTATGACTTGTTAATGTACAGAGTGCCACACCTTGCCCTCACTGACTGTTTAGACTTTGGACTTCCTCCTTCAGGTTGGCAACCAGAATTCAACTTAGATTGTGAACAGTTGTGAAATATACTTTTTGGTCGTGGTAGGTACAGGGATGACACATTGTGTTTGTAAGTAAACATTCATTATGATGACATCAAATAGCCACAAGAATGGATTATGAATAAGAGCAGGTCTACATTAGTATGTTTCTCTTAATCAAACACACTATGATTATTACACTGATTATTTTACAATATGATTTGAAAGAGAATCTTAGAGGATTGTAGGAAAATCAACTTACATTGTTGAAGTGTGGTGTCCTTTGTAGTATGAATTATATGTATGCAAATTAGCATGCTTTGGTTTGTCTGCATTTCTCTGAAACTCTCTTACTATGACTCTGCCTTTCTCTGTCACTTGGTCCTCCCATTTACAGCTACAGACTCGACGAGATTGGGGAAGACATGCCCCCTTCACATTTATGGTTTCAGGCTGTTGTTATCTTGCACTCACATCCTTATGCTTCACATTTGTTGTTAAAGGAATACCTACAGACAGCTCAGTTTTTTGGGTAACAAAATCAGGCAGTCAGTCGGATTACCACAGCCAAACTAAGTACACACAATATGAGGTCTGCTGGGTTGCCAGGGTATCAGCTGTCTTATACTGGAGCCTGTAACTTTATTGGAACACATATTATAGAACTAAATTATATGTAAATAATATAAACATGATTAAAGCGTAAGGTTAATTTTTTTTAAAATTCTACAACACAGGTGGTGATTTGGAGTTCCTTTATACTACTTACAAAACAAAAATTATATAAATAGAAGTAATAAGTCGTAAAAATAAACTATTTTTATGGTGGAGTGCAGAGGGTGAATGTAGGAATCTTGAAGCATGAAGAAGCTGCTCTGGGTAAGCCAGTACAGTTGCCCGACTGTAGACCTGTACATTTTTGACAGCATAGCCTGTACAGTGCTCATTTGCATTGTGGACTAACACGGTGTTCAACTCTGAGCTGGGGCTTCATATGAATCCTCATCTTGAATTAAGTGGTTATTTTTGGTGCTCATTACATCAATATAAAAATACTGATTGTTGCAGCTGTAAGATCCCAGTGCCTGTTGTTAAGGCAGCGAAAGAAATATTATTGGTTTTCCCCATAACAAAGAAATTAATTATTTTTAGGGTAGAAAATGTTCCTGATATTGACAGTGACATAATCCTATTGATCAATGAATGATAAAACACATCTTACAATCATACTTTTACACGTTTATTTTGATACGCAACTGACTAAATTTACAGTATATTTTGAGAGTAACATTCAGTATGCTTAAAACATAATCATACAAAAGAATCTTCATGTTGTAAAGCTTGCATATTCAATTATGTTTTTTTTTATTTGCAATACCATTCACTTAATGAGTAGAAGCACTTCTAGACTTCTGACTTTATTAGGTTCATTAAAAATAATTTGGCAAACACCCTTTTTTGAATGTCATGCTCTTGCAAGCTGCAGTAACTTTTTTTTTTAAGTAAGTGCAAAGATCAGTTCAGACTGTTGTGTGACAAACAGGTAGTGGCATTGCAGTCCTTGTTTTATGTACATTTTGTAGTTTGTAAGTCAACATTCAGTATTTTCAAAGAACAGAAAGACAGACCGAAAAAGCCTCTCAACTTGAGTGGATATATTTACATCAACATTTTGTTTCCTTAGGTTTTGGACAAACAAATGTCCTCTTATTAAATGTATTTATTTGAGTCCACTGACTTTTGCTGTGAGGAGCCTTGTTTTAGTTATAGCCTAAAAAGTTAAGTTAAGTTATGTCAGTAGTCCAACTGTGGTTATTTTTTCAAACGTGTATTGTTAATAGGTTTAACCTAAACACAGGTCCTTTCCACTAAATGGATAAAAAGAGATTTGCCACTTATAGTTCCTCTGAACTAAAAGGGTTAGTAAATGGGGATTTTCCATTCATGTGTTTGTCTAAAAAGGCATTAGCTATATCCAGTCCTGAATATTTCACCTCCTAAAAACAACAAAACACTTCTTCCTTTTTTACTGTACGCAGTATAATCTATAGCACCTACAGCAACATTTCCACTTAACAACTAACCTCTAAGGGCTGGGGTCTCAGCTACGACAATTAAAGGTTTGTGCTTTCAAGACATTCCCTGTATGGAAAAAGCAAAGGGGTGTGATACTTTATCACGGCCAGAGGGAGGCCCTGTGGACCCATCAGAACACAGAACCCCAGTGCTGATAAGGCAACATACTGTACATTACCACAGGGCAAGAGGACATGAGGTAAGTGGCAACCACACCTGTTACACCCTCAGTAGTAAAAT